TGAAATGATAAATGCCAAGTTAACTTATGGTAAGTTACCATTTAATTTGTGGGACGAAGCATTGTCTAATGCGTGTAGAATATTAAATAGGATTCCTTCTAGATTTACGAAAGTTTCTCTTTATGAATTGTGAAAAAGAAGAAAACCTAAGATTGGATGCTTTAAAGTATGAGGATGTCTTTCTTATTGTAAGAACACGAACCCTAATAAGACCAAATTGGGTTCAAGAGGCATTAAATGTGCTTTTGTTGGATATACTAGTAATAGCAAATCATATAGATTATGAAATTTGGAGACCAATGTGATTATTGAATCCAACGATATAGAGTTCTTTAAGAATTCACTGTTTTTGGATAATGAATTAAGGAAAACTTTTAAACAGATCTCAAGCTCTAGTGGAACACAAGATGAAATATCTTCTAAAAAATGGTAATGAATCTAATGAAGTACAATGAAGTAGAAGAACTTGAATTGATAAGTCTTTAAGACCAGATGAAATTGACTATCAACTTATTTCATTTTACTTCGTAGAAAGAAATGAGAAGAATATTATAAGAACAACTCATTTTGTCAACAAGTGAAAATCGTTCACAAAACTTATAAAGAGGCTATGACTTCTTGTGATAGCATCTTTTGGAAAGATGAAATGGATTCAAGTATGTTAAACAATGCACGGAACTTATCGATTTACCACTCGGATCCAAACCTTTTGGATGTAAATGGGTGTTTGAAGAAAATGAAGAAAATATAACATTGATAGTTCTCTTAATACCTTTAAGGCTAGACTAGTAGCTAAAGACTATCGACAAAGGGAAGGAATTGACTATTTTGATACTTATGCACTGATAGTTAGAATAACATCAATTATGATATTATTTGCATTAACTTCAATACATAACTTGCATGTTCATCAAAAAGATGTCAATACAGCATTCTTGAATGAGGATCTCGATGAAGAGGTTTATATGGATTAACCCGAAGGGTTTGCTCTTCTCGAAAATGACATAAGGTGTGCAAGTTAATGAAACCGTTATACAGTTTGAAGCAAGCACCCAAGAAATGGCATAAAAATTTTGATTTAGCCATTTTTTTATTTGGTTTCAAACACAATAGTGTAGATAAATATTTGTACTCCAAACTATGTGATAACTATGTTACATTTATTTGCTTATATGTGGATGATATGTTAATTATGAATAATCACATGAATAGAATAGAAGCAATGAAGAGGTTTCTTTCTTCCACGTTTAAGATGAAGAATCTTGGACAAGTGAATACCATTTTGGGTATCAAAGTTACTAAAACTAGTGGGGATTATCATTTAAATCAGTCTCATTATATTGAAAATGTGATAAATAAGTTCAAATATTTGAATGCAAAAGAATTTAGTACCCCCATGTTGCAACTTAAAAACTCATAAAGAATGATGGAATAGTAGTTGCTTAATTAGAGTATGCAAGTGTTATATGGAGTCTTATGTTTGTAGTTCAATGTACAAAATCGAACATAGCTTATGCAATAAGTAAACTTAGTAGATTTACTAGTAATTCGAACAAGGCCATTGGTGGAGTTCTGGGCTATTTAAAGAAAATAAAGAACTTAGGTCTACAATATATTAAATTCTCTATATAGAGGGATTTATCGATGCTAGTTGGATATCTAGCACGGCTAAAGGTAGATCCACTTCAGATCGGGTGTTTACACTCGGAAGAGGTGCAATTTCCTAGAAATCAAAGAAACGGACATGTATAACACACTCAACTATGGAATATGAATTTGTAGCATATCAAAAACCGAGAAAGGAGCTAAGTGCCTCAAGGATCTACTTTAAGAGATTCTTTTGGGACCAAAGAATGCATCTTCAATATCTATCATGTGTGATAGTCAAGCTATATTAGCAAAGACAACAATGAGGTATACAAACGAAAAGTCTAGACATATGTTTCTTTGACATGACTACATAAGGAAATTAATCAAGAATTGAATAATTTTTCTAAATTGTGTCAAGTCAATTGTGAATTTAATGGATCATTTAAACTAAACCTCTAAATAGAGATTTAACAACATTCACTTCAAGTATGATGGGATTGAAACTCTTGAACTAAAAGGTCTACCGATGATGGCAACCCTACCTATCATTGCATAAAAAGTGATCCACAGGTTCAAATGGCAACAACAAGTCATTCCATATGTGGATAGTCTCAACATTATAGAATCCACGAAAACTCTATCCTAAGTAATTAATGCTAGTTGTTACTGAAATGAGGGTTGAGCTTTAAGCTCTTAATGAAGTTCAATATTAAGTACAAGTATCTCTAAAAATAACAAAGATTCTTAAAAAACTTTACCTAGATAAACTTTGAGGTAGTGCGGTGTCAATAAAGAGTTAGAGTTTCCTTCTTAAAGGTTTGTTAAAAAGAATGAGCACAATGCCATATTGCCACTAAGCGATGTTGAGAAACTTGAGAACGCATGATATTTGTGTCTGTGCTCTTACTAGTATTGTCACATGTAATAATTGGTTCAATGCTTAATGCTACCTTTAATTCTTACTTGACTTTGTTTGAATTACACTATGGTTTGATTCAAATCGAAAGATATCTAATTTTTGGGCATAAGTATTGTATATTTTGAATTTGAGATTTTATCGAAAATTGAACAAGTGGAGATTGTTGTATACTATTCAAAATCAATAAATTGTGTGTGGAATGAAAATGAAAATGGAAAATAGAGACCAAGAAGTTGGTCTATGTAGTAAGCTAGCCTATGCAACTGCATAGACCAAAAGAGCCTGTGGTCACATAGGTATTTGCAGGGCCTTCCATAAGATAATCTATGCGGTTGCATAGATTTGTTTTATGCAACCACATATAACGTTTCACTAGTCGTTAATGGCCCTTTTTGTTTGAACTTCAAGTGGCTCTTTATATGTTTTGGCATCACTTCGTGTGATATTGGTTAATGCCTATAAATGGGAGATAAACGATAAATGTAAACATAAAAAAAAATAATTGTGATTATTGTTTCCATTCCACAAAAGAATCAAAATCTTCATTTTATCATATTCATACTTTAAAGTGTGTTTTTAGGTTTTGTAGATTTCGTTAAGTGCTCAATTTTTAAATCCTTTACAAGATTTGATAAATCCTACAAACCATTTGCCAAAATTCCTTTAAGCATCAAATTCAATTCAAGATAGGGAAAATTACATGTTTGAGCCTTTTTCGTCAATTTCTTCTCCATTCCTTGTGTAAACCATATTTCCAACAGTCCATTCTTGTGTAATAGATTTTAGGAAAAATTGCAGCAGAAGCCCAAAACCTTTAAAACACTTGCAGACTTTCCCTAAACATTTGATTTGTGGCAGCCGTCATCCCTAACCTTTACATTCGTTGCAGTGAAGGTCCTTTTGGACGGAAACCGTCTAAACGCCCGTCAATTGATCAGTCAAATAAAAAATTGACCACTTTTAAACAAAATAAAGGAGGGTAAAATCATCCAAACACTTAAAATACCATTTCATCTTCCTTTTTCACTTGTTCAGTTCCCTCCAAATGAAGAATACAAGTACAACCCTAATAAATTGTCTGTCAGTTGTCAGTTTCTCACTCTCTATCAACATCCTGAACCGAACGTAGAAGTAATGGAGATGTCAGAGTGCAATTGCAGAACTCGTGCCCAGATGAAGACATCGTGGACTAACTTGAACCTAGGTAGACGATTTCTTACCTGTCCATGAGGTATGGATCTGCAAGGTTGTACATTCTTTCTTTGGTGGGATCCCCTAATGTGTTAGAGATCAAGGGAGCTGATACCTGGTCTTCTGAGCTCGAGACGAGATATGGAAGCTGAAATTAGGCAACTCCGTTCGAATGGAGGTAGGGTATGGAAGATTTGGTTTTGTGGGTTTGCATGTGGAATGTTTGCGAAGTGGATCTGCAGTTAAATCTTTGTAGGGGTTTTTGGAGTTTTTACTTGGATCTGTAATCATCCTTTCTTCATGGTGTAACCTACTTCTTTCCTTATATTAATGAAGACTTAAATGCGTTGCAATTTTGTGGTGTTCTGTACATGTTCACTGTTAATATTGACAAATTTTGTTGTCGAATAAATATGCAAATATTAACACCCAAACATTTGGCAAAGCTTGCAGTGAAAGCCCCAAACGTTAGGTATGTCGTGCAGATAAAGCCCCCAACATTTCGCACGTTGTGGATTGTTGGTCCCATACCTTTGAAAAAATGGTGAAAATGTCCCTTTTCTATTCAACTGCTTATAGTAAATACCTCATCACTTTAACAACAGTTTCCAGTACAAAATTAACAGCACCTTCAAGTGTAGATGTCACATAAAAACTAGTATACATTGGTAGCACACATTAATTTATGAAACTTCAACCCTCACAATGAAGAGTATTTTAACACTTCCCAAAACATCAAAAATCCATAATTCATTCATGTATACATAAAATCCTGTACACATTGGTAGCACATAAAAACCTGTATACATTGGTAGCACATATATTGTCATGGTACCATTCCCAAAACATCAAAATCCATAATCCATTCCAAAAAGTTCAATTACATTTCTACATCCAATGACATCTAGACTACACTGTTTTGGACTTCTTTCCCTTCTGTTTCTGTGACTGTGATTGTGGTGCATTTCCCTTTGAGGTAGCTACAGCTCTCTCTCTCTCTTCCGCTTCTGTGATTGTGGTGCGTTAGTAGGCTGCATCTGTGCAGTGCATGTTCTCTTATTGTGTCCAGCTTCTCTACACCTTCTACACGTCATTTGCATGCCTGTTCGAGTCATTTTAACTCAAGCAGGTAGTTCGGTCTGAGATCTTTTTCTGAGCTTTTTAGGCCTACCATCCTGCTTCTTCTTCACTGGTGGCTTCAATGGGTGTTTCCCTAATTCAGACCAAAGTTCAGGCCCTAACATTAGCTGAATCACGGGGTTGTATGCCATCAGATATCTTTCTTTCTTGTAATATTCATCTACAATTCATCTATTTCTATTCTCCTTAACAACATACCAGAAATGGCATGTGCACAAGGAATTCCAGTCAGTTGCCATTTCCTACATACACATTCTTTTGTCCCCAAATCCACACTCCACCTCAAACCATCTGTGTTAAGAACTTCAAATTTTTGATTACCTGCATAATCTGCCCTCATAAACCTCGCGTCTAATTTAGCCTTCTCAATTATCCCTACAATTTTTGGACCATATGCACGATCCCACCTTTGAGCTGCCTCCCTCTTTGCAACCATCCATGTCATTTGTTGATGCCTTATCTTATCCAATATTGTGATTATATGCTTCTCCCTAGCTATAACGATGGAGGCATTGAAAGCTTCGCACAATTTATTCAACAAGATATCGCACTTCGTATTCTCCTGGAAATGGGATCTCGTCCATTGAGCTGCAGGCTTCTCCTTAAACCAACAGAAGGCTTCTTCATTTACCATCTTCATCTCATTCATAACTGCATTCCACTCTGGTACAGTTGTAGACTTGGTTGCAACCCAAAACAAATTCTTCAGAGTTAGCCCTTTATGTTTGAGAGTGAAATTGTTGTGCAAATGTCTTGGGCAGCAGCTGTGTTCTGTACCTTCACAACACTGATTCAAGACTTCAACCAATCCTTTTTGCTTGTCAGATATGAAAGTCCAAGCCCTACTATTATACATTTCTATATCCACCACCAAAAGTTCTATAAACCAAGTCCAGTTGGCTCTATTCTCTGCATCCACGACTGCCGAAGCAATTGGAAACATACAATTCTCACCGTCAATCCCCACTGCTGCCAATAATTGACCCCCATGTGTAGTCTTCAGAAAACACCCATCAAGTCCTATCACAGGCCTACAACCAACCTTGAAACCTTTTTTACATGCCCCCAAGTATACATACATTCTCTTGAACACACCTCTTGTTCCCTCAACCTGCACAGTACTTCAAGGGTTAGTTTTCTTCAACTCTTCCCCATAGTCCCAAAAAATCTTATATTGTTCCTTAACAAGTCCAGTCATAACCGCTGCACATTTTGCTCTTGTTCTATAATATTGATATTTTGATATTTCATACATACAGTCCTCCTTCACTGTTTCCACGAAACTGTTCATGGATAACTTCGGTTCCGACCTAAACTTACGTATGTATTTCTTGGCCAAAAAACTCGCATGGACCTTACTATTTTGCCAGACCAACGTGCAGCTATGTTTGTCTCGGAACGTGTTGATCCTTACGCTGAAGTCTTGCTGTTTGTAGGCATACAATTGCTATGGAAAATTCTCTTGACATTTTACTCTTATCCTATGTGGTTCGTTCTTCACATATCACAGTTCTCTTTCATTCTTCACAGAGTATTGTACAATAGCCGCTCTCAAAAATTTTGTGTTCTCAAACTTCATACCTGTATAGCGCAGCAGAACATTTTAAACATGTTAGTATATGTGAATAACAGAAACCCAAATATACAACAAATGAATATCTGGGACCCCAAACCTTTGAAATTTGAGCATCTGGGGCCCAAACATTTGGAAAATAAGCATCTGGGACCCCAAACATATGTCAATTAAGAGTTTTGGGACCCCCAAACATTTTAAAAATAAGCATTAGGGGCCCCAAATCTATGACACATAAACGTTAGGGTCCATGTCAGTTGAAGGGTTAAACCAAACTTCCTTTCTGCTGTTACTTGTGGCACCCGCTTCATCACCACTTGAGATAGTTCTCAGGTCATCTGACTCCCTGTAGTCTAAACCACTGTTTACTGCATTTACGTTTACATTCTGCTTATTAGGTCCTTCATTGCTTTCATTCCCCAACCCAATATCTACTCCCTCACTCAATCTAAAAAATGTGTCTTCGCCTTGGTTGTCCTCTTCCACATCCTCTTGTTCGTATTCAGAATTAGAGAAATGTTCCAGGTCAATATTATTATCCTCTTCTTCCACCTGTGATTCACCACCAGAAGACCCAGTGCCAATATTCTGAGCATTAATGGCTTCTTCAACAGAGGGTTGAACAGATGCATTTCCAAGATCTTCCAATCCCGTTGCACCCTCAGACGTGGGCTGCTCGAACTGTATGTCAACAGGATCTTCCAATCCCGTTGCACCCTCAAATGTGGGCAGCTCGAACTATGTGTCAACAGGATCATTTGCAACTTCTACTCCTGCTTCATTTTCAGCTGAACATGGTATATAAGAGGTTGACGTCTCCCATATTTGCTCCACCGGCTGATCATTTGCACCTACCTGTACCTCTACTAAGTCCACATTGTCCACTACACTGTCTCACCTGCTATCCACAACATCTGACTCACGCAACTGATCCCCTTCAAATTCATCAATCACGTAACAATCATTACCCTCTACTGTGTCATCGAAAACCTCAACTGCAAACGTAGGTTTTTGTCCAACCTTCGTATCCTCATTATTGACACACACACTCTCCAAAATCTCACCAGTTTCCATATCAGTCACTAAATCTCTAGTTGGTACATTCTCATCCTACGGTAATTCCAACATTGCGGTTTGTATCGGCAAACAGTACATATCTGCAACTCTTGTAGGACCAACCCATTTTACAACATTCATGAAGTCTGCATCAGTAACTAACCAAAATGACCCCTTTGACCATCTTTTCTTTTGAAGCCTATAGATGTACCTCATACGCTCTTTGTAACCCAACATCTTTATTGCATTGTCTAACAGAAATCGGTTGAATAAATCTGGATCCACGTAGTCGAGATAGCTGATCTTACCATGTTCATACACATAATTTCACATCTTACTGAAAATCATCCCACCATGGTTTAGGCAGATCGTGAAATAGGCAGAGTTCTCTCCTGAAAAGGGGAAACATTACGCAAGGCTAATCAGAACAAATATGGATATCACAATAGACGTTCCAACGTACTCATTACAACATTTTGTCCGTATAGTCCATTTCATGCAATTTTCAAAAAACTCTACGTACTTTGTTCCCCACAAACAACGAAAATACAAAATCGATTACAGACAAAGGGCTATAGTACTTCGTTGTAACAATATCAACATTTAGGTATATGGGTTTCTAAAAAATACTACGTTTTCAAGATTTTTACTCTCTATAACTGCCAACGACCACACCTGCAAAAACGTACCATATACCGGTTTTCGTAGAGATCCCCTTAGATGGCACGCACATCCGACATCTCCGTCGTCGACTTCTCCAACTTTAGCGAGTTCATTGTCCCTTTCATCGCAAATCTTGCTTCTCTTGTTCCCGTTAGTCGTGCGCCAGAAATTCGAAAAACTAGTAAAAAGGAAGATGAAATGGTATTTTAAGTGTTTGAACGATTTTACCCTCCTCTATTTTGGCCAAAAGTGGTCACTTTTTTATTTGGGTGGTTAACTGACGGGCGTTTAAACGGTTTCCGTCCAAAAGGGCCTTCGCTGCAACGAATGTAAAGGTTAGGGGTGACGGCTGCCACAAATCAAAGGTTTGGGGAAAGTCTGCAAGTATTTTAAAGGTTTGGGGCTTCTGCTGCAATTTTCCCTATATTTTATTATAAATTTCTCATAATGATATAAAAAACAATAAGGATGTCCATTGTACGATTGGTAAAAAATTTTTTTATCAATTAGATTAAATTCTTGAAATGAAAAAAATAATTAATATGATTATTAACAGGAATGGCAAACGGGACCAGAGTAAGGTGAGACAACCCTCCTTGTCTTCACCCTGCCAAGACAGAGATGAGTTTGAGCAAGATTAAAATATTTCAATTTAAAAACATAATATAAAATAAAATAAAAAGTAAGAAACGAGACGAGACGAGGATCATGTTTCCTGTCCTCATTCAGATTTCCCAACAGAGTGGAAAATCTCTAACCTATTCAGAGGAGGTATTTTGCCATCCCTTGATTTAAATACTATTTGAATTGCTATGTATAACATTTACTAGTAGTCAAAGTCAACGGTCGGTCCATTGGAAAGTGTTTAACTCATAAAAAATAGAAAATATGTAATTGAGTACAAAACTGTAGTACAAAAAATTTACATATAGAGAAACAAAAAAAACATATAATAAGCAAAAAGGCTACATAGTAGCGACGGTGGAAGACAAGACTTTATATTTTCTAACTTATAGGATGAGCACTGTTCCTATTACATTAGCTGTACTTTACACCTTTCGCAAGAAATAAGTTGTTTTAGAGAAACACAGAACAAAAAACCATTACGTATTAATCAATATTAAACTTCCTTAGTCTGATATCGTCCTAACATAAGAATGTAAGTTGAGTAGAATGAAAGGGCATTGTCCCAAAATTATATGATCCCCAAATGTACAAATTGAACATTTCAGAAGGGCATATATTTTGGGCATGCCCCCATGCTCATAAAGTTCCCATAGTGCTTATCACATAGCCCATTTTGACTTCCTCAAACTGCAGGTGGAGATAAGAAACTAATTAGCAAAAAGAGCAACCATAACAAGAACAAGAACAAGAACAACATATTCAATTACACTATGGTCTATGCATTTATGACTCACTATTAAACATAACTGAACAATATAATAAATAAGATATTAGCTTGTTTTTCATTCTTAATATTGTCTAGTGTCATCTAACCTTCCTTACCCAACATTCAATAAATAGCACGGCACGTAAACACTATTTCCTGCTATTCATATAGTTTGTGAGTTTCTTCATGTTTGAGCCACTGTGCACGGGCAAGCGCATGGGGGGTAGATTTATCGATAGACAGATAATTGTACATAAATACAACAACATACAATTTTTAATTATGTCAAGTAAGAAGATACTATGCCCCCATTTGGCACCCATTTTCTAAAATTCATTTTTTCCCCGGTCAATTCATTTTCAACCACACATTTCATAGAATCCACAACTTTTCAACCATGTATTTTATCAACTTTATCTCCTCCAAGAACTTTATCGCTGGCTGTCATGAATGAAGACTGTTGACCATTACACAGAATAGGATGAAATGTATGCTACTTTTGATTGAGACTAGAAGACACAATGAATCTTGGTGCTTCTGTTTCTTACTTTTGTTTTCTATTTGTTATACGTAAAATGTTCAGGCAAGGTAAGATTGAAATATTTATATGGTATGTTATGTCAACGCAACCATTTATAATATGTCAAAAGAATTAAAAGGAATGTCGATCTCGTCATATAGTCTGAATCTCATTATTTCAATTACAATGTCAACACTTCTATCAATTTGTTTTTGATATACATTCGTATAAGAAACTATTTTTCGTTCACAAAACAGCTATTGCAATAATGCTAGTATGTGAGAAAATTCAACACGAAAAGTGTTTACGGTCATCTAAAAATCTGGACCAGAGGCTGCTAATTCATTTCCCTAGATGAACCTAGTAATCTCTTACTGTAACCAAATTTCCTAACATTCTTTATTTCAAAAAAAAAAAAAAATTGAAGTTAGAAAAGTCAGCAAATCATTATGATAGAAGAATAATATCCTAGCTCCATATCTTATTATTAAGCATGTTATGATAAGCAGCCAGTTGATTTTTTTCCTTTCAGAATAGAAAAAGTTAACATACAATGTTGGAATCAATAAAGGAGGTGGTGAAGGGGGCGAAAAATTGCCATCGTCTCTGACAACAGCTCATGATTGTGGTTGCTGTTTGTAAACAATCACAAATGGATCCCTATCCTTTTATGGCATGTTGGGTATGGACAATATAAAAGAACAAAAACAAGTTAAAATCTAGTCTATCAACTTAGAATGAATGTCATTTGATAATTATCAAACAATTAACAATTCTCCATTTGTTTCATATCGATTTATGATCTTCTGTTTCCAAAATAGTAACCCTAATAACACCGATTTCACCTACCCAAAAACAGCAAGCAAGAAGATTCTCTACAATGCAGGCAATGTTAATTAAGGGCTTTGACCTTCAAACCCACAAAATCAACCAATAATCCAGATAGTTTCTCTCCACAGAGATGATTAAATTTAGAAGTGAAAAAGGGTAGCTACCTGCGGAATAAGAAAGGACGAGGGAGTAGAATGGGAGTGGCCAAAGCATTTGAGTAGAAAGATAAAATGAAGAATGTGGTGGTGCCAATCGACATGGAATGCTTATGCTTGTTCACTTAAAAATAAAAGATTACATATTGCTCACTCACTTTTACATAATACTAGTCGTTTGCCCCTAGTGTGTTGAGTTTGAAGGATTGACGGAAATAATGAGATCAACAAAATAAACTTAATTTGACAAGGTAAATTTCCATATGATTTTACGAGTAAAATACAATTTTGAAGCATCTCAAGAGTACAAAGAAATGAAGAAAATATTTTTTGACACCATTAATAGAAACAGTATAGAAGCAACTAGTATCCTTAATTCCTGGTGCTTATTAATCTGTTACATTAAAAAATGAAGTTAGC